GACCTGAATTTTACATTTCTCAAATACTCATACTGCGCTTCTGCATTAGATGAATGGCGCCGTGTCCGCAAGCTTCAGCACCACGTTACTCAAGTCAAAGCTGCCACCTCGTACCAGCCTCTTCAAATGAAGGAATCAGCTCGACTGGTTCATGACCTCGTTCTAAATCCTAAGCGATACAAAACTCTCCTCCGGCGATACGCCTCGGCTCTAATTCTACGCCTTACGTATGGTGCAAAAATCGAGACGGGCGACGAGGATATCGTCCGCTTAGTCTACGAAAACCAAGTCAACGTGGAGCGAGTTTCAGCCCCTGGCCTGTATCTCGTGGATGTACTTCCGATTCTCATGTGGTTGCCTACTTGGATAGCTCCGTTTAAGCAAGAGGCGGCTGCTCATCGTAAACGAGAGGTATCCCTATTCAGCAGTCTCGTGGAAGACGTGCAAAAGGATATAGAGGCCGGCAAAGCAGGGACAAGCTTCACACGAATGTGGTTGGAAAACAAAGAGAAATTCGCGCTTTCTGACTTGCAAGGCACGTATGTTCTGGGTGGCTTGTATTCAGCTGCTGCGTCCACGACGGCATCTTTAGCAATGAGCTGGATATTGATGATGGTGCTCAACCCGGAGTGGCTCGCAAAGATGCAAGAGGAGCTAGACACCGTCGTTGGCATAGATCGCCTTCCAGAGTTTGATGACCTACCCCGACTTCCAACTGTAAGAGCTGTCGTAAAAGAGGTAGCTAGAATGAGGCCAGTTACTGCCGGAGGTAAATCTCATATCCTCTTCACTCTACTTTTCAGGTTATTGCTAACACCTTTACCTTTCCTGCAGGCATTGCGCATAAGACGACAGCGGACGATGTGTATGGCGGTTACTTCATACCGAAGGGAAGCATCGTTCATCCCAATCTATGGTTAGTACATATATAGACCATTTTATTCCTCATCCGTACTAATATCGTCGCCTAGGGCTATCCATTATGATCCGGAACTGTATCCCGAGCCCAACACTTTCAATCCTAACAGATGGCTGTTACCGGAGTATCCAACGTATCGCGCTCCCCTCACCCAGTATCCCAATATGAACAACTACTCTGTCTTCGGTTTCGGACGACGCCTATGCCCGGGGGCTCATATCGCCGAGCGAAGTATTAACATGATTGCTGCTCGTGTGAGCTGGGCGTGCAATATCCGAAAATGGACCGATCCAGAAACTGGGGAAGAGGTTACGCCGCCGGAATATGATTGTGAGTACTACAAGAACTCTCTTAATTGCTCCGTCATCCCAGCTCCTCCCCTCCTTTTGTTTTCCGTCGCTGGGAATATAGTCTAAACGAGGAATCTTGATGGCAGACGTAAGAGCTCTGAATACGGAGCCACATATTTTTCCGTTCGACCTTACTTGCCGATCGCAAGAACGCTGGGAGGTTCTGGAGAGAGAAGCCCAACAAGCAACGGAGGAGTTGATGAGTACAGAGGTTTGATAAATGGGAGTAGTCAAGCATCACCTATCATAACAAGCATCTGATATCTACTATCTTTAAATGTGGTTAAACATTTCTTCATATTGTGCTCGTGTCGTCGACCAAAGTTCACTAGTTGACAGTACCACTTCAAATGTGGGTACACCCACGGTCAGAGGATAAGCTTCACATTCAACGCTGATTCACCAGCTAGCCATTAGTCTTGACACACCCATTGCTGTCATATATTTTCCGCCTCCCGGACTTTGAAGCGCTGACGGTAGCACCCTAACTTGTCTGCAGAATACCCCGTGGTGCGAAGCGTAAGCGACCTAAATCGAGACGGCGTACGCATTTATCTTTTACTATCATGAGCAGGGCATGCAAGAGAACTGGGACAGTGCCAGTGTATTTGAGGTTGTCAACAGCCGTCAATTTGGGCCAATAAAACAGGGCAGCAGTGCCTACTGATGACCAACACCAACTCAAGAGTAGCACATAACATGCGCACTACAAGAATCCTCCAGGGCTAAAAGACCGTATTGAAGAAGTAGTTGAGGGTTCCAACCGTCTCTCTTTATTCTTCTTCCATGTACGTTTCTATAAGCTAAGACTAGCAATTAAGAAAATAAAAGGAAGTAGTAGCAAATAGGTCACCTGATGACTCGCAGAGGCGAGACCTTGCAGCCCCAACTCACCAAGCGTATGTCAAATGAACAACACACCAGTGATTCTTCCGGGACACTTATTGCATGCATAGAGCGCAGTCCGTACCCTCACAATGAACTATTCATCCACGACTACATACCGATTCGTCAGGGTTCCGATCTTCTCCACCCATACCGAGACGGTATCCCCATGCTTGATGAAGTTTGGTGGCTTCATGAATAGACCTACACCGCCCGGTGTGCCTGTCATAATTACCGTACCCTTCTGCAATGTTGTGCCCTTGCTTAGAAACGCAATGATCTGTCTCACCCCAAAGCATAGGTCCGATGTGTTGCCTTGCTGTCTGAGTTCGTCGTTGACATATGTCTTCAATGACAACGTGTCGGCAGCTCCCAGGACGTGAGCAGCGACAAGGACTGGACCGAGTGGAGCGAACTTGTCCAGTGACTTACCAAAAGTCCATTGTGGCACGGGTCCTGCGAGCTCCGGATCTCTCTGCCAATCGCGAGCACTAACATCATTGGTTGCAGTGTAGCCGGCCACAAAATCCAGGGCCTCAGCTTCCTTGACATTCTTGCAGTCTTTCCCAATTACAAGAGCGAGCTCGCCTTCATAGTCAAGCTTCTTGATCGCGAATGATGGAATTGGAATATCTTCACCATGGTCGGCTGCTGAATGACTAGGCTTGGTGAAAGTGGTCGGGTACGGTGGCAGGTAACGACTAGCTTCAAGAACTGTTCAGGTTTAGTCTATGCCAAACTCTCCCGTGATACCAAGTGTGACTTTACTGTGAGACTTGTAATTTAAGCCAATGCATCTGAAGATAGGTGTGTTCTTGGGTTCGATCGGTCCCAGGAGAGTTTTGACTGTGTCGACATTATCGGTGCGTTCGACACTGACGGGGTCGGTACCCTCCAACACTTTGACTTTCAACTTTCCCTCCGCTGCCAGTTGCGCAATATCTTCCACTTCAGTAGGCTCAAGAATGGGTTCGCCGTAGCGGATCTGCCCATCCGTAGCCGAGACGTAGCGGATGAGACGGTCCCATGCAAGCTTTACAGGTGCCATTTTTGTGGAATAATAACGAGAGTACTGATAGTACAGGGTTCAAGCAAGCTATGAAATTATGAAGAGCTGGTCTTGGAGTTACTTTGGCTTGAACAAAATACATATTGAGAAGTGTAAGATACGGAGTCGAGCAACAGCTTGGCAGGGTAACCTCGGTTGCGGAGCGAACGCGCACGGAAGCTGCTCGGACATGCTGAGCAGTTCCGCGTTTTCATGTCCGTGGCGGCGTAACTACAGTCAGACTGCCCGCCCGAAGTTTCTTGTTAGTAACACACGGAACGTAGATGTCGGTCCAACGCGGGTGGTCCGACGAGCGGGGTTCCCACCGTATGAAGCCATCGCACGGAGGCTTTGAAAGGCTTCCGGCCAACGATCACACCACTACAGTGTCCCGAGCGTGCTGACCTTACGATTATTTTCCAACTTCGGTGGGGAAGACACCGTGGTAACTGACTATGAAGCTCCTGTTCTGTACCCGACTGTCTGTTCGTGTATAACTCAGTTTCCGACTATCATCTAAGGCATCTTCTTTCGCAGTTCTTGTACTCATCTGTCGAGTAGTCTCCTATAGAATCATTAAACCCTATAGTTTTAGTTTGAGAACTACGTCGAAAGACTAACAACAAGCATGCCTCTCCCGAAAGATGATCCGCGTGTCCGGATTCTCAAGACTGCCTTCATCACCTACTCTCATGCAGATCTGGCCAAGGCACGACAGTTCTTGCTGGACTTCGGTCTGGTCATTCTTGAAGAGCGCGCTGGAAAAGAAATATTTTTCCGCGGATTTGGCTCAGAGCCATTTGTCTACCGGGCCAAGCAAGCAGAAGTCGAGTCTACTTTTGACGGAGGCGCCTACGAAGTGGAAACGAGAACAGAATTGGAGAAGGCTGCCAAGATACCAGGAGCTACGCACATATATGCCCTGGATACTCCTGGTGGCGGTGAAGCCGTCACTCTGACGGATCCCGCTGGTTATAAGATACACCTCGTCTATGGACAGGAGTCACGAGTTCCGGACAGCCCAAATCGAGAGAAGCTCACCATCAACTTTTTGGATGAGAAGCCAAGATTGGGCAAATTCCAGCGTGTCCCTCCTGGCCCTGCGCCTGTATACAGGTGGAGTCATGTCGGCGTTGCGTACCCCGTAGGCATGTTCCAAGAGATGTTCGATTGGTACACCAAGAACCTCTCCTTCGCGCCTTCAGATGTCCTGCTCAAAGACGGGAATCCTTCCACTTGCTTTCTTCACATCGATCGAGGCCTTGACTTCATGGACCACCATGCTTTCTTCATCAAATCCGCCAAACCAAACCAGAAACCTGCCGTTGCACATGCGGCCTTCGAAGTCCATGACCTTGACGTCCAGCAACTGGGCCACCAGCACCTGGTTTCACAGGGATATGAGTTATGCTGGGGGGTTGGCAGAGTACGTACTAACCCTTCCGTTCTGCTGAACAATTCATTATGAATGTCTACCTCTCGATCATTAAGTATGCTGACATCCTGGCAAGCACTTACTTGGAAGTCAGATCTTCGACTATTGGTATGATACCAGTGGCTTCGTTTTGGTAAGCTTCTACCTTCTCAACTGATCAGTTGTCAAATAATACCTCAGACTAAGCTTTCTCCTTGTTTCTAGGAGCACTACGCCGACGGTGACATGGTCAACAGCCAAACGCCCGTCTCCCATTTACCTGCGGGGCCCGAAGCTTTGTCTGTCTGGGGTCCGGAAGTCCCAGGGTATTTCTAGGAGAATTCCTATACATGGCTACTTGGTCTGCACATCTCGACTTGTTATAACGAGTTTTGGCACGATATCCAGGTGAGGGAGGAAATGAGGGACAAAACATGTTCCTAAGTGAGGGATAAATATGAACAATCGATATTTACGATCTGACTCAAAGTATCAGAAGCATTGTGAACAAATCTCTTATAACGACTGCATTGGAGGTTTTATGTGTCTAAATTTATTGCTCCCAAGCTAGACGGGTTAAAAGTTCCATTCAGATCAGCTTCCTCAATGGTTTATTTGAGCCACTGGGGGATCTTGTCGTTCGCTTCAGCGATGTCCAATGCAACAAAGAATCTGCCCACCATATTGTAAGTCGCAATGGTCGCGGTGAGTTCAACTATTTCCTTTTCACTGAAACCAGCCTCTTTCAACTTGCCAAATACACTGTCTGGAACCGAAACCGCTCGTGACATGTGGTCAGTATAAAGCAATGCGGCCCATTGGCGGTCATTCAAGGAACCCTGAGACGTCAGGTGCACCAGTTTGACGACAGCCAATTTCTCCTCTGTGAATCCATCCGCGGCGAGGAGTTTAGGGACATGATTGTTCCATTCGTGCCAAGCGCCTGCAATCAGCATCGTACGACAGATGGCGATTTCGAGAATGTCGTCTGTCAAAGAATTTTGGGTTCGAACGGCTCCGAGAAGAGCGTTCCAGCCTTGCAACGTTGGTAAGTTCTTGATAAGAGATTCGTGAATTCTACAGGGATCAGCTTACCATCTGCGATTTTTGGAGCATGCAAAAGGGTAAGGTCCAAGGGAATCAAGCCTTTTCTCCCTCGCCGTGCCTTTACACGATCGACGATTGCCTGTTCCTCGGGCAACAGGTTCGTTGGAGGGTTAGGCACGTAATCTAGACGCATTTTCTGTTAAAGTAGGCGAAACGGCTGGGCGTATGTTAAATTGTGCCTAGAAGCTTTTACTGCTGTGTCTCTTTCAAGCTCTCGATTGCATTCAGTGAGAAAGATTTCTTTTGTACCGAAACTTCCGGGGAACTTTCTTGCTGTAGGTGGCAATTGTTTATGAAACAAGCTGAAAGCGTCATTCGCATTCGTTACCTCCTTGGAGTGGTATAAAGATCGGGGTTGCATCATGCACTTTGGTCGCCATCTAATTGGTAGGAGCTTAGGTCGACTTGCAGCGAGTGTTCCGCGTTAGATGCGGAAACACGGTTGGCTTTGCGTTCCGGATTGCATCGTGCAATTTGCCGTATATAAACGGTATGACCTTATCGACTTGCAGCGAGGATTCCGTGTTAGAACCGGAAACGCCGTGTTTTTGCATCCCGGTCACATGTCCAACAGTAGAGCCTCGGGCCTACAGCTTACCGATGTCGCCATGCCGGACTGACACTCAATCATTCACGGAGAAACTGGGCTTCCCTCACTTTCGATTGTCAAGTTCTAGCGGGCACTTGTGGAGCAAGCACCCTTTCCCCTTAAATTTACATGCAACTCGCCACCATATCCTTCCGCTTTCTATCTCCTCCCAATCTGGAAAGAATTTGCACACCAGCAAATCACCATAATTGAAGCAGGGTTCTATGGGGCAACTGGGCGGCTATACTCTGCGGTCCTTCATCAAATACTTGAACCTCGCCCCCATTATATTGCCTCATGTCCATCTGTATATGACGTCTCGTTCGTAAAATTTCTTCTGCACCTTTCCTCGCCGACTTCCCTCGAAGGTAACATTATGCAAAAAACCAAAAGTCCTGCTGCTCGGAAAATTGATCAGTATGTTTGCACTAAATGAAGCCTTCCCAATCCAAATCTCAGGTCTCCTATGGCTGACACAGCCGGCGTAGTGTACAGAAACAGTGGAAAGCCCTCAGCGACAGTGCAGTTCTTTAGAAGTCATGCGCGCCGGATCGCAAGGACTTCATCAGAGAGTGTAGAGACGACAAACGTGACGACGTAATTGCAGGTTAGAGTACAATTGCATCGCAAGGTACCTTTGGCCGATTTGACAAAGAACTGTGAATGTGTTACCGCAGAGTTGAAGCAAGCGTATCATGATTTTTCTCCTGGCCTCGATCCCTACCGCGTTCTCTGCCGGGTGTACGGTGTTCTGGTCCTCTATCTTCCTTCTGTTCCTGAGGCAAAGAAAATTTCGTTTGACATTTCTGGTCGTACTTTGCCAACGCTGATGCAAAGATAACTATAGCTGCGGGACATGATCAGATCGATGCTGAAGCATGCTCAGCGTGAGATTCCAAGCTTCACATGTATAATGGGCCCAACATTACAGATGGAGCCAGCTCTGACACAGCAATCCTCCTGATGATTGAAACGCCGCGGAATTTCCATCTGGCGATGGGCTCTCTTCGTCAAGGAAAGTGGAGCGGAAACCCACGTACAGCTCTCGGTCACGATTTCCGAGGCAAAGTCCTCGATATCCCAGGCTTAGGAAGCATCTGTCTGAACATGGCGAAGAAGGCGCGTGCATACGACATATATACTATTTATCACAATCGTAGCAAGCTTCAAGAAGACTCGGCTGGTGGGATGGAGTGCATGTCCTCCAAAACGGTACTATAAAGAAGGAATGTTCTCAGCCTGCACCTAGCTCTGACCCGTGGGACGTTTCGTTCGATCTCTATCAAGAAGTTGAGGTTGATGAATCCATCTGCTATCATACTTACCACGGCTCGAGGCGTAATAATCGACGAAGGAGGTTTCGTCAGGGCTTTAGACCGGTAATATCATTGTCAGTGGGGTCCTAGATGTCTACGAGGACGAATCGAATAGCCGCGATGCTTTATTATGAAGCCATAATGTCATCCTTTTCCCACACAGAGGTACTTGGGCTATCGAGACTCATTACCAGATGGAATTATACAATATCCAGGAAGCGATTGAGAAGTGGAAGCTACTATCGCCTGTCCAATAGCAATCCAAATACCGGAGGAAAACGCATGAGTCTGAGCAATCAACATAAGAATCAAGTGTATATGCTTTTTGTTGTCCTATAGCATACGATGGGTGATTCCTTTCAGTCGTGTGGAGGTCTGAGAAAAGCAGGCCTACTATTGCCTGAACTCACGCAACAGGCCAAGTGACTCCGTCTGTTACGTGAGTACCTCGAGTACCAAGTCTCATAAACCCACTTCAGCACCATTCGTAAGGAGCGACAATTCTTAGATTCAACCCTTGCTGGGCTACCTAGTTCTTCAGTCCCTAAATAATGTAGGGTGATCAGAAAAAAGTGCTGTAAAATGCAGCTCTCGGTGTTGCCAACTTAACCTTATTCTACTAAGGACCAGATTGAAGGTCAAGGTCTATGCCACCAGAGGCCAGTACTTGCAGCTTGCTCATACTCATCAGACTTGACCTATTCCCCCACCTCCGAAGTGGGGTTTTATTCTCACTCTGGAGACTGCGGGGATATGTAGGGGTTTGGACTTTACATAGGCTATTGAGGGGTTGTGGGAGACTGTTCAGCGCCTACCGAGAGCATTCTTATATAACATCTACGCCCTGTGAACAAATCTGCACTTGGATCAGTCTCTGATCAATCTTAAAAGCACTAAATCCAACCTACTGTGGTAACGGGAAGAAAATGTCTGTTGCTATAATTGAGGCTCCCGGTCAGCAGTACCTGGATGCTGCCATTTCATTCATTTCACCCCATTCCTCACTGGTGAATGCTCGTTTTGTATCACCGGGCAAGGAGCACAACACCGCAGAGTACGATCTCCATGATGTGAAAGTATTCGACGCTCGCGCAAATCAGTCTGACTATACTCTGGACAACTGCGGATTTGCTTTGGTGAAGCATGAATCGAAGGTACGTTCCCGTTTCCCAACGTACGAGCGATGAAAGATTAGTTACCAAAATGTTGTATTTTAGGTGCAAAACTTACGTGATCGGTCTTTGCTCGACACTCAATACATCCAGGAAATGGAGGAATTTGTGAAGGAGTTGACCGGCGCAGATCACGTTTTGGCGTTCGGCATCGCCTTGCGTGCAAGCACGGCAACTGCTGGAGGAGCTTTTCAGGAACCAGGTACAGACGCACATTGTGACTACAACACCGATACAGCGGTCTCTTACGCACGGGAACTGCTCGATCAAAGGGGCTACAAAGACTTTGAGTACGGTGACTTTGAATGTATCAATGTCTGGCGCGCACTCAGCGAACCTCCTCAAGATTGGCCGCTCGCTGTCTGTCAAGCTCAAACGGCTGGCAGTCACGAGAAGTATTTCAACAAGATGGTTACGTTGGAGACTCCTTTGGATGTCAATAACTTACCACCAGTGCCTGAAGGCCGACTTCCTACAGCTATTCTTTACGAATACCGAGACACTTACAGGTGGAACTATTTTAGCAATATGAAGGCTGATGAAGTTCTTGCTTTTAAGCTCTTTGATTCAAGAAAAGGTCTGCCACTCAGGTGTCCACATGCAGCTTTTAAGGATGTCCACACTAAAGATGTGTTGACAAGAGAAAGCGTTGAGGTCCGGACTGTCGCATATTTCAAAAAGTAGAAATAGATTGCCAGCTCATTACCAGCCAATGTGAAAGCGAAGTATGCCATGACTTGAGAATTGTGACCTGTGTGGGCACGAGTACTTTACTCATCCAACTTCGACAATCATACTCGGTATCGTTTTTTTTCACTGTCTTAAATCTTTGCCCTCCTCCAGTATTCGTAAGACAACAAGACAGGTTTA